TTGTTCCACAAAAATGCGGACATCATAGCGCATCTTCTGCCAATAAAATGACGAAGATTATTGTAGAAGTGTACGAGTAACTCCAGCATGCCATCCAATTGGAGTATTATGAGCTTCTAACAAAATCAAGGCCTTAAGTGATGAGGTAGGACCCAAGAGGTATCTCGCACGGTGAAATAATATGCCATCCTTACATATAATGGCAGAATCCTTACAAGAACCTGAAGCAATAGCTTGATGAACGGTTAACAAGTACGGATCAGAAGCATTCTCCTCACGGATTCTTGAGACAATGTCAAATGCTGGTTGAGAGATCAACACACTGACATGCCCCACGATAGCTGCAACCGGACTGGCAACTTCTGCAATGCTTCCTTCAAACTGACGAGAGAGACTATCAGCAACTATATTTGAATGTCCTGCCTTGTACTCAATAGAAAAGGAGTACCCCATTAATTTGCACCCATATTTATGCTGCTCCGGTATCAAAACAGTTTGGGTGAATAACTCCTTAATGCTACGATGATTCGTGCGGATAATGAAGGATGAACCAAGGAGGTATTGCCTCCATTTCTTTACAGCTTTAGTTATAGCAAATAATTCGCGCAAATAAGTGGAAGCAGAGGCCATGCGTGAATTTAATTTTTTGCTAAAATATGACAGTGGTTGATCGTGTTGGAGTAAAACAGCTCCCACACCAGTAATAGACGCATCTGTTTCTAAGACAAACGGGGAAGAGAAATCGGGTAGTGCAAGAACAGATGTCTCGGTCATGATGGTCTTCAATAGTTGAAAGGCTAACTCTGTTGCAGGAGGCCAATTGAACTTGCCATCCCTTTTCAGAAGGTCTGTCATTGGAGCAACAATCATAGCATAATTACGGACAAACCGACGATAATACCCCGTAAGACCAAGGAAGCCACGTAGTTGCTTCAAAGTCCCAGGTGTTGGCCAAATCATGGCTTCAATCTTTGCAGGGTCTGCACGCACTCCTTTTGCAGAGACCAAGTGCCCCAAATAATCAATCTCTTCTAAAGCAAATTCACACTTTGGCAACTTAACATAGAAATCATGAAATTGGAGGCACTCTAATACCAGCTTGAGATGACCTGCATGATCAGACAAAGTAGAACTGTAAACAAGTATATCATCGAAAAATACAATGACGAACCTGCGTAAGAAAGGACAAAAAATATGATACATGGAGGCCTGAAACGTGGAAGGTGCGTTGGTCAATCCGAACGGCATCACCAAGAACTCATAATGCCCATCATGAGTTCTAAAAGCTATTTTTGGTACATCAGCAAGTAACACATGGATTTGATGGTAACCCGCACGTAAATCAAGTTTGGAAAAAATCACAGCACCAGGAAATTCATCTAACAGTTCATCAATGGTAGGGATCGGGAATCTGTCCTTCACAGTAATCCTATTAAGGGCTCGATAATCCACGCACATACGCCACGAACCATCATGTTTTTTTACCAACAGAACCGGAGATGAAAATGGACTCCTGCTAGGTTGAATGAACCCCGTAGCTAAGAGATCTGAAACTTGTGCTTCGATTTTTGTTTTCTGGTGATGAGTATATCTAAATGGTTTCACATTAACCGGAGAAGCTCCCTCGACCAAATGGATTGAATGCTCCCCACCACGAAAAGGAGGAAGTGCCTGAGGAATATCAAACACCGAATTAAACTCCAAGAGAACAAGCCAAATTACCTCAGGTACCTTAATTTGAAGCTTATCAAGATCAGTAGGAGGAGATAGTGTGGATGCAGAACTCAGTACAACACAAGAATTCATATTAGAAATATTGTAATCAGCTCTGTCAACAGTGTTCATATTGCCTTGTAGACATATGCACTGTCCCTTCCACTCAAATTCCATGGAAAATGTGTTGTAGTCATGGGTGACACAGCCTAATTGACTCAACCACTGCATACCCAGAATGATGTTCAACCCATAAAGATACACCACATACAGATCCACACAAAATTCATGGCCCTGTAACAGCAATTCGGTTCGAAGGCATATGCGATCACAAACTAAAAAATTCACATCGCCTAGGAAAACACACATTCATTTGCAGCGTGATAACTATAAGCCAAACTTGTCAACCAATTGACATTGCACGAAATTGTGGGTGCTACCAGAGTCCACTAAGACAGACATAGAATGGTGTAATAACCGAGCATCAAATGAAATAGCGCGAGGGTTGAGTGAACCTGACAGAGAATGTGAGGCAGCATCGTTCTTCTCAACAACATTGGTATCAGTATGCTAAACAATTTCCTCCTCACCATCATCAGGTGAATCAGTAGTATCACCACAAAGCACCAACATCTTGGCCTTACACCGGTGACGAGAAGACCACATTTCATCACAGGTAAAACACAATCCTAAGTCACGTTTCCTCTGCATCTCGTCAGAAGAAAGTCTCTTCATAGGTAAGGTCAGCAAGGAAGCAGTACCTGTTGCCGCACTTTTCTCAGCTACCTGGGACAAAGGAGAAGCCGAAGCAATTTGGGGAGACTTGGAAGTGTTGTAATACTTCTTAGAGGAAGAAGTGAATGAAGAACGTAGCTCTGAATGATGGGCCTCATAAGCATCAGCAAGCTGCATTGCTTGGTGAAGGGAAGATGGCCAATGCAATTGAATCGCACGGCGAAGATCAGGGTGCAGTCCAGAGATAAAAAAACTCATAAGCTGATCATCTGAGAACTTTGTGACCTGATTAATGAGGCTTTCGAAGTCACGGACGTAATCAGATAAGGAACCTTGCTGGGATAATTTGGACAATAAACCCTTCAAATCGCAATAATCTGAAGCACCAAAACGCTCCTTCACCGCAAGGGCAAACTCTGGCCAAGAATTCACACGGTTTCTCAAGAAAATCCACTGGTACCATTCGGAAGCAGCTTCTTCCATGCGTAACCCTACCAATGAGATCTTGAGATGTTCACGCACCTGTTGGAGGCGAAAATACATTTCTGCTTTAAAAAACCAATTATGAGGGTTTGAACCGTTGAATATAGGTATCTCCATTTTTACCCCCTTCAAAAGGTGATTATACTCTGTATGCTCATGCTTGGCGGAGGAGTGACGGCCATTCCCCGCTGAAGAGTGATTCGGTGAGGTGGGAATTGCTGAGAGTTCCCGCAAACGAAGATCGATTGCAAGCATGCTCTCCGTCAATTGATCCAAGTGTTGGTTCAATTCCGACCGCGTGTTGTGCAACTCCTCGGCAAGTTCTTGGACCTTCATCACCGCCAGTGAAATTTTCGGTGAGTCCAAAGTGAAAGCACCAATTTGTTAGGAACAAAGTTCCAGAAGGAAAAGGAAATTAAAAAAACAAAACCAATCCAATATTTTCCAATGAAATCTGGTACAACCCTCTATGGGCAATATATCAAGGCAACAGATATCACCTAACAGAATCCCTACAATGCGCAGCAAGTGCCACGTCCCTTATTACACGTCTAACAGAAAAGTTAACAGTAGCCTCAAGTGTCTCCTCTTGACTACACATAACCCTCCATCCAAGTTGGTGCCCTTTTGATACGGTTAGGCCTGCTCATCTCATGGTTGGCTATCTCCTCATTGGGCCTGGTTTGGTTTACTCCCGTAACAGAGTGTAAATCACCTGCTTAGTGGATAGGATGTGCTTTTGGTACAAGTGTGAAGGTTGTAACTTTGGTGGTAAGCCTTGTGAATATTGAAGAACTTGTCTCATCCTTTGCTACAGGGAACCATATATAGATGAAGTGCACTAGCAATTAAGGGAGGTTGTGCAAATAGTGGGTTGTTTTGCAGGTGACTTAGTGGTGTCATCCAATGCTTAGTAGGTGGTTATATGTAACGGAGGAAAGTTGAGAGAAAGTGGTGAAGAAAAATGCTTAGTGTATATCATATAATGGGGATAGAAATTCGGAACCACTTAACTGGTTCATAACAAGTTTCAAAGAGACATTATCACCAATTAATTATCAATTCCATTGCGTCACCTTAATCAGGATTGCCTCCTCCAACAGATTGATTTTATTTTTGAGCTCTTCCCTTTTTCCAATTGATAGTTTCCTTGCCAATTGTCAATAATTACTTTCCTACTCATCCTTAAAATCTAAAATATCTGTGTAAGTTTTGAAATTATCTTAAGAATGCAAGGATTACATTTTTGCAGGTCCAATATCTGGATGAACGTTTAAGGGTTTGTTGCCAGGCACAATTTAACCGAAAAATAACATAAGTTTACCCAAGTACAAGTATAATTTATTGAAATGGTCTTTTTCGTTTGTTTCATTTCATAGTTTTTTATATTAATTATCTAAGTATGAAATTTAATTTAAATAATAGACCGCCTATATTTTGGGCGCATTATCTTATTGATTATCTATAGATATGTTATTTAAATTAATTTTTTTATTTAATTATAACAACAACATCAATTCCTTTTCTCGCTAAGTGAAATCAACTACGCGAATCAAACGACGCCATTGTAATGTGTGAAAAACCAAATCTTCAACTTCCTGATTGGCAGCCACGCGCCTTCAGTGCATCAGTCAAGAAAAATATCTTTGAAATTACACTAAAGTAAGAAATATTTTGGAAATTCGAAATATTCTGGTCAATAAACCTTTTATTTCCTCAATGAATGTCACTCCTATTTATTATATGATACATTCATTCTTAATCTTATATTTTCTTATATGACTACTCATCTACCACAATATCGTGAGCTCTATAACACTAACTTAAGTTCTTATTAATACTTTATGGCCCAACATTCAATCCCATGGAGCATCATTGGTCAAATAATTGAAAGATGAAGGTCCTTTGATTGTGTTCTATATATTTTTTTTCTTAAAGCTGTTTTGTAGAATATTTAATGAAATATGTGTTTTCTATATTTTATTTATTTTAAAAGTTAAAAATCAAAACACAAAACAAAAACAATGTTCTTTAAATTTGATTTTATCATTTTTTTTTTGTCTTCATGTACCAGAGCTCATGTCTACCATTACTTACTGCAATATACTGCACCAGTTTATCTTTGAATCCAGGGCAAGACTAAACGAATTGACAGACTCGTCCAATATATTTTGTACAAGGTAATGCAGCTGATGATTCATCCTGTTAAGTTGTGATCTTGTCATCAAGGCCTGTGGTGGAAAACATCATATAACCGAATATTCACCTTCTAAGAGCTCCATAGCTTTTGGTCACCTAGAACCATAAAAAGGGGCTTAGTCCAATGAAATCACACAACTCCAAAGATGTTATGAATTAAAAAAAAAAAAAAAACTTCTAGAACCAAAGTTGCATTTTACATTAGCTAGAACTACATCAGGGATGAAAATTTGCCTGGCAACATTATGACATGAGGGATAAGCAAAAGGATAGCAGACCATTATGTCACCAATCAATTCCGTTCAAGCAATCTTAACATGTAATTAAATTCATATAGGAAGTGAATAAACTAACTTGATATCAAAAGTACCCCCAGCAACCTTTTGGTTTGCTAACACCAGTTGCAGAAATTTCAGAGAATCGTGATTTAAAAGTGACATCAAAATTCAAAAGTATCCCAAGCAACTTTTAGTTGACATTTCATTGGTATATATCAAGGTTTTGCCATCGAGGCATAATTGAAATCCTTCTGTTCACATGCATTGCCATTTGCTCAAACAAATAATTTGAATGGGAAATGAAAATATATATCCTATCAGAAACAAGTGAAGAAATGAAAGGGGGACACAAACCCGAGGTTGAGACTTATTTAATCTCTTTATAACATTATCATCGTCGTCGTCGTCGTCGTCGTCATCTTCATCATCATTGTTAATGAGCATTCTATGGATCGAAGAGTTATCTGATTTCCTTCCCCTTTTAGAAGACTGCATAGATACTCTACCTCTACCCTTTGAAGCAGCCCTTTTCCGTCCTGGTAGCTTGGACTCATTTTCCTGTGCAATATAAGATGCAGAAGATTTCACTTAAGAATTAAGCACGTCAAGGATGTTTCCGTAACAAATTACAATCCAAAGCACAGAAAACTTAGGTAGCAAGTATCAGACTGGCAAAACTGAATAAAAGAGCCTTGTGAACGCTTCATATATAAAGGTACTGCAAATTAAGGAATATAATACAAAAGGAATTGGCATTGGTCCATACCGAACTGTCATCAATCTCTTCAACTGCATTTTTTTTGGCATCGTCACTTGAAGCAGAGCCTAAATTATCCCCATCATCAGCATCACTTTGGATGGCACTAGCTGCAGCAATTGATGCATGCCTGCATCAAGTTCAATGAAATCATATTGAATAACTATCCACAATCAAGGAACCATCAGTGGAATATAAAGTGACCTTAAATAAACCCATCAATGGGGAACACTAATCCTTCTTTAGATTATTTTCATGCCTGTGTTAAAAAACACCTTGTCCACACAGGCTAACATACATGCAGCAACAGGGATGCATGAGGCAACTCAGAAGTCAGATATCAGAATCATAGCTCTTACTAAGAAAATAAATACCTATATAGAATAATGGAGAGGAGCTAATATCTTTGCTACAGTTTGTTTTGGACAGGCCTTCACAGCCCACTATACTTGGGCCAGCCTGTAAAGGCCCATTAAGGGGTCACACCCTTACCTCCCTATAGTAAGCACATAGACCTCACCATAGAGGATCTCTCACTCTCCTGCACAGCTCATCATCGTACATGCACAATTGTGGAGTAGCTCCTCAATGCGACAATGAGGAGTTGGGCAAAAGGTTAGGCTCTTCTCTCTCCCGTGATGAGGGAATATTTCCCACTTATATAAACCCCTCTTCTCCCATCGAAGAGGTATTTGAAAACCATCATCTTCATGGGCGGTTACTTTGCCGTATTTTAGAGCCATCGTAGCCCTTACACATTCCCCCTTTCTCAACCTCACCTAAAATAGCACTTACGGTGTCTCTCTTCGAACTTTCGTCCATACCTCTGCTACTTTGAGCACCCACACATTGATATACATCACCCATTACAGGATACCGACCTAGCTCTTAACTCCATTACAGTTCATAGTTGATCCTGTACCTATTTTCTAATCTTTACCTATACGAGAGGAACAAATTGAGGGTCAAAAACTTTTCTGGCATAATGGCCCAGGGATGTCAATTGGCCACCAAGAAGATACAAAAAAGAAGGGGTTATTCCACTCTAAAGACATATTAATTGAATTAGTGTCGAAAATTAGATAAACATAAAGATCAATATCATTTTTGTCTTGAGTGTGTGTACGGGGGACTGGGGCCCAGTTTTTGAGTCATCATCATTTCCATGTCCCCTATGCCTCTGGATTTACTTTGCTGTGTAGAATTCAATAAAGCTACTAGAATGATTTATTTATCAGCAAAAACAACCTCTGAGAATGGCGAAACCCTAAAGCTCCATCAAGAGTTGTCTGCTTCAAGGTGCTGGAACCCCTGCCTCTACCTCTGCCCCTGCCCCTGCCCCTTCCTCTGCTTGGAGTTTGAGATGCAGCAGAGGACCCTTTCCGACCTCTAGCGCTTGGCTTTGAGGCAGATATTGGCATGGGATCTTCATCATCACTAAAGGAAACTGCACTTCCAGTTCCAGCAGCACTTCTGCCTTGGAAATCCTAGATGCAATTAGAAAGAGAAGCTAAGAATAACGGTCGTGAATAATTTTGCACACCCAAAAGTCAAAACACTGTTTTTCCATCTCTAGATTCTCTACTGCAATAGCAAATATCATATCATATGTTGGGTTTACCACCTTTGACAGAGCACCAGCCGGGACCTGTGTGGGTTCCTTGCTGCGTACTGATCGTTCCTTGACACGTTCCTAGAACAAAAGACAACCAACAGAGACTTACATGTTTGTTCCATCCATCAAAGTTCAAACCATTGTGATCACATAGGAAGATGTAGTAAAATAATCATGAAGGCCCCAAATAATTGCAAAAATTGCAAACAAACTTGTAATCAATGATGGTACAGAGGATATAGGAGACTTTTGTGCCTAGATTGTCTGCAACTGCTATATGCTATTTCATGAAAGCCCCAGTAATAGCTAGGCTTTCTGACAAGGCGAAGTGAAATTTAAACCTGAATTCATTGGAGATTTATTGATTCATGGATTAATTAAAAGTACTGATGAAGCTTCTAACCTCCAAGCACTCTCCAAATTTAACAATTAAATCTTCCTCATCAAATTTCAGATTATCTGAATCCTTAGAAATTTTATTCTGCACAAGCACAAAAGTAATTATCAGTGAGAAGAGGAAGGAATATGACATTAACATATATACACTCTAGAATATGAAGAGACAATGTGCTCAATCTTAGTGAATAGGCTACGGGATACAATATGGACCAAATTTTCAAACATAGCGGTACCATAGACAAAGGCATACAACAGATGAATACAATATAGAATACTCACTCGTGTTTCATCAATATTGTATTGTACACAAGAGTAAAATGCCATTTTATCATCCTTGTTCACAAAATTGTGCAATGCAATATCCAAATCATTGACTGGAAGTATCTCCATTTTCTACAAAACCATTAAGAGTTAGATGTACTGAGAGATAAAATTAAATTGGACTAATATTGTTTTATATTTATTTAAATTGAAAAGACTAAAAGGATAGAAGTACTCATTGATTAAAATACCAGATTATTTTCAGCAACCAAAGCCTCTATGTTTTGTTGATTCAATTCTTCTGGACGAAGTCGTTCTGAATCATCAATTGTACCTACATAAGAAAAAGGAGAGTAAATTAATCATATTCCAGCATGTTTTAAAGTTGAAGAATGACATTATCACCGATTTTCAAATTATGCAACTTGACTAAACCAAAAAAACAAATGCTACTTAAACAACTTGTGACTTTTGTTAATTTCAATAGAGATTGCAAATATCTTGCACATGATGCTTAATATGTCCGGCAATCAAAACCAATTATTCCTTCAATCTGTCCCTAATGTTGATTCTAAATTTCTAATTATAACAAAAATAATAGCAAGTAGGGGTAACTCAGGCAAACCAAACTAATTTTAAATGTACATAGGTATTATAGCATCTGACAACTATATATATCTTATCTGGGCTGTTTTTTGCCCTCTCCATTGCTTTTATGTAGGTTGTTTTTTGCTCTCTATTGCTTTTATTCGATTAGAATAAAATTTGGAACTGTTGAGATATATAAAACCATTAAAAAGCCCTCACCCACCTGCTTAAGCTTTTGGGTTGAATTGGTTCTTTACAGGAACAAATTAAAGGATTTGATTCTAGTGAGTTCTGATTTAGGATACTAATAGTAATAAGCATGTGCAATCCACCTACAATATTCTATTACAAAAGCAGAGGCAGGGCCAACTGGTCCTCAAAACAGAAGTATACTTTACAATGTCAACAATAATAAAATAAAATAAAACTTCCTCCAGATTCAGTAACAGAATTAAAACAAGAAGCCTGCCTTGGATATCGTAAGTTGAAAACTTGAAACACTATGCTGTTGAGATCAAATAAACAGGTAAAGAAAGGTAAATAAAAACAATTCAAACTACCTTCAACCTTGGCCCTTTTTGCAGCCTTTGAGAATATAAGAATGTCTTGGGGGTTTGCAACCTAATATAAGGATCACCAATCAACAGTTGAAAACAATCTTCAAGCAAAACTGGCATTAGCACACTAATTCACGAAGAATGGTAGATAGAAATTACCTTCCCTACATATTTCTGCCCAAATCTTTGAGGATTTATAGTCGTAAATCCAGAGTAATCTACCTATAAAGTACGTTGTAAAAGTTAAGGACAAGCCAGATAACATTATGTAATATCTAACTCTTGTCTTTTTAAGGATTTGTGAATCCAACTCCCAGCATCAAGCATAGAGTTTAATTGATTTAATGTCATGAAAATTACTATCATTTCTAGAAGAAAAGTGGAGTCAAAAGCGGTAAGATTATAGAAGCAACATCAAACTTTCTGCTAGGTGAAAAGAAAAATAGGAGGAAATTCCCTCAAATATAGATTCAAAAGTCATGTTACAATATATATAAATTACCTTGATACGTATTAGTGGAAGCTTAAGTTCTGCTCTACTGACAGCCTTCTTACTACATTTTTCTAGCAGCTTCCCCACCTGAACAATCTTCTGTTATCAAAATAGCTTCTACACATGACCACTGGTCCACACACAAAAATAATTTGGGGAAAAATCAAAGTTAAGTTTCTTTCACAAATTCTACTCATCCCCAAACAGATTATAAAGCAGAATACCCAAATTTTATTTTAAAAAAAACATGTTTTATGATAAAATAATAACTATAAGGAACTGTTAGAATAGGAAAAATTAGATATATAGATTTGGTTTAGATTTGTATAGATTACTTTCCTATCTGTAAATATTCTTTTTGGATTAGATCTGGGCTCCTCACTTAAGCCCATTAGGATCTCTATATATTGTAACTCTTTGTATTAGCTTAATACACACAATATTATTTTATATTCAAGTTGGTACCAGAGCTCTTTTGTTCTGGGGACCCTCGCTTTCGCATAAAACTTCGTTCTCGCTTTAAAACCTAAGCCCACTGCTTAGGAGTCCTCTTTTCTTTGTTGTGCGTTCTTCCGACAAGCCGTATAGGGCTGTAAGCTCCTTCAGAGTTATTTCCGAACGCGTCAGCACCTCTGACAGCCACCGGAACCACCATCCGGCACTGTTCAGGCCGCCAGAGAAGTTTTACGGCGAGTTTTCAAACCAAACCACCTGCGATCAAGACCCTCTCCTCCCGGCTACCAGTTCTGTGGAGGTCCGACCACCATCGCAGCCGTCACGCGCCTCCACGCGCCGCCCGTCTCCTCTGCCGGCGCGTGTGCGCTGTTCCGGTGGAATTTTCCGGCCGTTCTTGGACAGAAAAGCTCGTCTTCTCCTCCTCTTTCCAGATCTGTGGTTGGTTCTTTGTGGGTCTCGCTTTTTGTGTGTACCTCTTCTTGATTTGCAATCAAGTTAGTTTCTATTCACTTGGTTGTATATCCTTGTGATTTATTATAATGGCAGCATCTTCTCCTGCTCACTCGGAGATCGGTTCTCCCTCTCATCCTGCCAAAAGTTCCCCTAATGTCATCTTACCCAATGTTGGGCCCGTTACCTCTTCAAAGCTGAAGGGTTTTCTTAATTACAAGAATTGGGCCACCTCTGTTCGAGTTTGGTTCTTTGGACAGGGACATGGGAACCATCTCACAACTAAATCTACCAATATTCCTAAGGAAGAAAAATTTGATTGAGAAAGGATTGGCAACCAACCAAAGAGGAAAACTTATTAACAAAGAAAAGAAACCTATGTGAGCTTCTCCCACAAATAAATTTTAAGCAACCAAAAGGGCACAGCAAATTATATGGCAAGAAAACAAAACTTTCTTCCAATATTAAGAAACTCACATATGAGTATATGACATACCACTTTGTCCAGGTGTTCAAGAATAGAATCTTGATTATTGTAATCAATATCAGGCTCATCTTTTAGTATTATCTGCATTATGAAGATTTGAATGATAAATGAAGAACCTTAAGATGGTCAAACACTTGAACAATTTAATATTTGATTCAAAAAAATATGTAATTTAAATAGCAGTGAGAAATATAAATTTTGAACTTAATTAATAATTGCAAAGGAAAACAAAAAAATTATCAGTATTTTACCTCACCTCTGTATACTCAAAAGGCCGCACAGACATCAAAGGTATCTTAGTTGGACGATACTGATTTCCCTGTCAAGAACCATTAATTCAAGCACTTAGTAAGAATATCAAAAAATGGTAATAGCTGCTACAGGGAAAGAGGAATCTACATTCTCATTACATAGACAACCTTAATTTCTAGAAGAAGTACATGCTTTGGCTTTGATTCACCATCAATAAGTGATGTTGCAACTGATGACCCTGGTTGCGTAATGTGAAACCCCATCCCTGGAACTTCCTGAATAAAATTAAAATCCATATTCAGTTTGCAGAACACAATATATGTCTACCTGGGTCCATTTAAGAGATATTGATTCAGTATACCTGTGGGTCAACCAAACACTCATGCTCATGCCCCCACACAACGAAGTCTAGGAAGCGTGGCAAGAAGTGCTCATTTATTGCATTTTTTGGATTTGTTTTCACTCTGCATACCATTATTGAAAACAAGATCAATCATCATGCAGAATAAAATCTAAAAACTTAGATACCGTGCACCAAATAAATAACCAATAATTTCAAAGTCAAATGTAGATTTCAGGTTAATCAACACATTTTCATTGATATATGATATTAAATGCAATCTTTTAAAAAAAGACAGACAGAAAGGAAGACATACCTGTTCTGATGAAGTACCAGAATGTTGAACCAATCAGACACTTGACACCCTTCCTGAGATTCAGGTCGCATCCATTGCACAGCATGTGGTGTCTGAAAAAGAAATAAAATAATACACCATTTCCAAATGTGAATGACTTAAATTGATAGATGAACTGCTTGAAAGTAAATTTTATCAGTAGCATACTTGAAACATCCTATTAAGCCTTTCATCTCTAATGTTCCCCAGACCATACAGAGCTACAGCTGTTGAACCCTGCAATTCATAAAAAAACATCTCAGTAAAAATGACATTTGTAACCATCATTCTTTTCTTTTCTTCTATTTCCCCCATTTTAGTATGTCTCTGGATTAGCTTATTTTATGTTCAAAATAGCTTATAATTAAAATCTCTGGATTAGCTTATTTTATGTTCAAAATAGCTTATAATTAAAATGTTACTGAGTTTTTTTTTTTTTTTTGGGGGGGGTGGGGGATATAATGGTGACACTGAGGTTTAAACCTGTGACCTCATGCAAACTACCCAAAACCCTTACCACTAGACCAATCCTAGTGGCTTAAACCTTACTGAGTTTTTTGAAAAGAAAAAAAAATCCCCTAAAAATCAAGCAAAATCAAACATGCACTTAACAAAAAAAATGAGGGTTTTACTAAGTTCACCTTATTCTGGTACTAACAATATTTGATAACAAACCTTTTTGATAAGAATAGGGTGGATAGCGATCTGACCAACACCAGAACCCCCAAGAACTGTTTTCCCAAAGTAGTTGACTAGATTGCATACCGAGAGAATATCAACTGCAGAAAGGTTGTCCTGTCACAATCATTCAATAAGGATTACATATTTTTTGTAGTTTAGAATAGCTGTAAGCACAATACAATTTGGCAGACAAAATATTAATCTGGTCAAATATATATCTAGCGAAACTTGAGGAAAAAAAAATCAGTTTCATTTCAAAGCAAGTAATTTTTTTAAGACATATGTCAGTATAAAACCCAACAAACAAAAGAAATAAAAAAGACCATCACCCCTTCACCATTACATAAGACTTGCTCCTTGAAAAAATATGTAAATAAGGTCTTCCTTCTTTATAAATTAGACTTATTGTTGAAAATATTTTCTATGTCCAAACAACACATTTCTCTATGCTATTCGGAATTCATCTTGCCACAATGCAAAGTACAAGACAAACAACTCAAATCAAGACTAAAATTTGACAACAAAATTCCAAAGCAAGCATCCACAAGCAACATATTAATGTAGTCATGTAAGAAGTGCAAAGAATGGGTCAAGGGAGCTGCACATTGGGAATGAGGGATAGGATTTGACTGAGTCTGTTTTTAAATTATGTTTTTGAATTATGTTTGTTTCAGCTTGCTTGTTTTGGTTCTGTTTCTGTTAGATTTATGGGAATAAAGTGGCCTATTTTGTAGGCACACGTTGTAATTGTTGGTTATTTAATGGATTGATGGAATAACAAAAGGTTTCAGATTTTGAAACCCCAAATAAGGCTCTTGACAGACTAGGAGACTGGCCATCTTGAATCAGGCTATTTCTTATCCATGTTTCACTCCAACAGTTTATTCCTATCACATATCTTCATCTGATGCTATTTTGAAATGAAAAGCAAATGCTGAAACAGATAAGTGCTTATCCAGATATTACAATTTACCACCTGTACAAAGCTATAACCAGCAAAAAAACACCTGTATTCTCCAAGTCCACATGGAAATCATTAATCCCTTTCATGATCTCTACCACCCACCCAACCCCAAGGGAAAAAAAGCACTCCTTTCACCTCTTTGATGATCTCTCCAAAGTCCTCAGTTTATAATGCATATCCCTCTTCCAACCCCTAGCTATTTGAAGTTTAATTTAACCAGCCCAAATTCTGAACGATGACTAAGTAACGGAATCAATGTTGCAAGTATAATGCATTTCAATGACCAAATTTCACCATAAAGCTTAATGCATTTAGTATGTTCGAATGTGCCAACTTCCAAGAGAATCATTTCCAACAACCACAACGGAATTCTTAAAATATAATTTTCTCTCATCTTTCTTCTAGATTGACCATGTTCAAATACAGCAATGAACAAACCAAGCCAAGGCAATTGGATTTACACAGACCCTGAACATATTATAGTCAGAACATAAAGACTCCGCCAGTAACAAAGTTGATTAGCAGCCTGCCAGGCTTTTGTGTTCTAGATATATAGGCAATAGATGAACTCAAAGCAAAACACCATACAACATGAAAACAACCAAAGGAAACAAAAGCAAGTCCAAAATAATAGACATAACAAACCACAAAGTTCACTATAACTCATACCACGCCAGCTGGATCATCATGGTTTCCGTGAATGGTGAAGACAGGCAAACCAACATTGAAGTGAGGATCTTCATAATTTACATGACCAAATCTGCGGAGAAAAAAAAAAAAAAAAAAAAAACTTCAGTTCATGATATTTACATTCCTTTGCAAACAAAGCACGATCTCACATTCACTAAATTAAAACATAAAAACCCTAAGTTATGTTCTTTTTTTTGCCATTGCAAGTAGAAACCACATAAAAAACAAAAGAACAGAGTGCGAGAACCAACTCATTCTGGAAATTTACGGTTTGGTCGCTGACAACTTGGAAGGAAACAGGTCCATCGTTGAGGCAATGTCGACGGAGAATCTTGATGGCTTCGACTAAGGTGTACCTGGAAGGCTTGTTCTCGTGGAAAAGGTCACCTCCGAGTAGAAGAAAATCAACCTGAAACCAAACACACTCACTCCTTTTGATCGATTAACAGAAAAAGAGAGGGGAAATGAAAATGCAATACCTGTTTGTGCTCAGCTATGGAGCAAATTTCTTCGAATGCTTGGAAAGAGTCATGGCGTCGTACTTCGTCCTTCTCCATGTACCCTAGGTGGCAATCCGTAGCTACCAGTATTCGAACTGTGTTCGAAGTGTCCTCCATCGATGCTGAAACAGAAGCCATGGAAATTGAAGTGTGTGTGAAGAAATTTGGGTATGAGATGAATATGATTCTCGAGGGGAACGAAACGCCGTCGTATTAGCTCTCTGGGCTTTTCAGAAAAGGCGGGACCTTCTCGCCATTTCCTTTTTCTTTTTTTTTTAATAAATTTTCAGAAAAATAATGGGAGGGAAAATATTAAGAGATATCTAATTGAACTTATGTATCAAAAAAAAAAAAAAAACTAATTGAACTACAATTAAAAGCTGTTACAAATTACAATCTCTGATTTAATTTTTACAATATTGTTCAAGACCAAACATGATAAAATAAAAATGGCTTACAGAAACAAGACAGAGTTTCTACTATAGTTCTTTTTGTGAATAGTTTATTAATTCAAGACATTTATTTAATTCTTCACTCTGTTCCAACCACTTTTATACTATGCCACTAATTATATATGATGTGTACTGTATCCTTGTAACATTATATTATTGAACTTTTCAGTACTAATAAGACTGACCAGTTAGTTTAATAATTATGATGTAGTAAAAATATGTCTAAAATTATCAAACTATATATATGTAAATTTGTTAATCCAATATTACACAACTCTAATAATGCATCATAGTTACTTAGTAATTTTAATTTTATGTAAAATAGAAAAAGTAGTAGAATACTAGAATACAAATTTAAAAGGAGAAATCCTTAGGCTTGTCTGAATTCTATTTTCGAAAATAATTTTTTAATTTTCCAAAAAAAAATTTATAATCTTTTGATAATGTTTGTTTTGTAAAAATAGTTCTAAAAATTATAACTATTTTTCAGTTTTTAAAATCAAATTTAAAAACATATTTTAATTGTTTCTGATTTGTGTTTTGACTTTTGAGTTTCAATAAACAAAAAAAAATACGAAAACAACAATGTTATCAAACTCGAATAGATCATCAATTGGTCGGGGTAATAGATCAGTGGATCACTAGTTCAACTACATAAATTAAATATATATAATAAATATAGAACTAAAAGCATTATAGCTAATAATTAGATTTGGTTTAGTGATAAGTGTTATAAACTACAATCCACATAGTCTAGGTTCAAATCTCATCAGTGGTATTTGTCAAGCATTTTGTTCAAAATTTCAAAACCTTGATTTTTTTTAAAAACCAGTGCTGGTTTAATATTGGTTGAACCCAGTTCAGGATTGGTTCACCATTTCATACTGAGTCAAATGCATGAGCAGTCTAATATCTAAACCCGACCACTTATGGGGACTTTTTGACCTTTTTTCCCCTCATTAATTAATTAATAATTATTTTGCCCTTTACCTAAGACTATCCACCAACCTGCCATTTTTAATCGATTAACTTGAATATTTAATCGGTTAAATGGTCAAAGTATGCAAAAAGTGTTGACCTGAGGTTTAATCGATTAAATATTCCTCTTAATCGATTAAATTTCGGGATATTTAATCGATTAAACCCATTAGTTAATCGATTAAAAATCGGCAGATGCATTTTTAAAAAAATCCCCCATTTGGCAGATGGGGTTATTTTCAAACCCTAATCAATTAAAGATGAGAGAAAAGCCCCAACTCTGAATCTAGCTCCACAAATCTTTGTCCAAGCGTGTGGATTGCGAAGACAAGGTCTTCTACAAGCTTCTTCCTATGTTGCACCGACACCGACACGGGACACACGATACGACACTCCGACACGTTAATTCTAAAAAATGTTAAATTCAGACACATTAGGACACGTTTTGATATTATATAATATTTTTAATTTATGTAGTGTACATTATATTTAGTATTCAATAATTTAACAAAAAAATAAAGATAAACTTATAATACCCATCAATTTTGCAAAGAAACATAAGATATCTCAAATGTTTATATTAATCTCAATAAAATCGTAATCGTAATCTAATGAATCTAATAGTTGAAACTCAAAATGCAATGCAACGTAACCTTCGAACTTTTTTTGAGTCTTTGCAACAAGTATTGAAGTGTCGGAAAGTGTCAGAGTGCCGGTGAGTGTCGGAAAGTGTCGGATACGACACGTCAGGATTTTTGAAGTGTCGATACTTCATAGGCTTCTTCATCCTCCATGTCTTCCTCATCACATATATTGTTACTAATGTAGTATATAGCATCTTTACCAACTGTAGACTCTGCCCTGACTATCATTCGCTGAACCAGTGGCGGACCTAGAAAATTTAATTCGTGTCTGCATATTTAATGGTGGAGCTGCTCATGAATTTTTTTTTAAAAGAAAATTTTAAATGCATATCAGAAACAACCAAAAAAACATGAAATTGGAGCCAATTAACACCCTCTACTAACAAGATAACACATTAATAGGAGAAGGTATTTCCACTCACTGAAGGTCATCCCATTCCACAAAATGGGATCAATTTTGTTGTTCTGCCTAGAGTTCGGTACTTTAAAGTTTCAACTTATTCTAGTTAAGAAGCAATTTCTAAATGAACGTGACAAAATTATACCTACCAGCTTCCGAGGTTTGCGTAAAGGAACAAACTTTGCACCAATGCACAACGCAATTGATGGACCAAATAGGAATTCCCTTGCTTCAATTCTTAAATGTTATCTAATCACATTAGAACGCAAACCAACCAAAGGCAATATCCTCTAGTAATAGCTCATTAATCTAAAACCTCATGAAATTCTTGATTTCAGTGTTTAAATAGTATCATTTTAGGCCAAGGAAATATTTTGAATGGTAAAAAGGGTACTCACAACCTATCTCTCGAGTTATTCCCCCCTCCAAAAAAAAACTCTTAATTCTTACCAAAAAATAAACAAGTCTGGCCACGAAAATAAAAATACAAGTAACCCCCTCCTCCAAAGAAAAGTCGGAGATAGAGAAAGAAGAAAACGAATGCGAAACATTTTTTAAGAAAAAAAGGGATACCACTAGGATTAGCCTAGTGGTGTTGGGTGTGTGTAGTGTGTATTAGGTTGCAAGTTCGATTCCTGTAATATTCAAAAAGAAAAAAAGGGATAAAAGTGAGAAGAGATTGCATTTAAAAAAGGTAAGCCATATCTATTTTCAAGTTTTTGCATCAGCTGCGTTTAAAGAAGACAAAAAAGAAACCCATTAAATGATTTAAGCTTTGAAAGAAAAGATTGTGGGTCCGCCAAAAAAAAAATTAAAAATTACTGTCTGCACTTGCAGACAAGTGCAATAGTGTGCGTCTGCCCTGCGCTGAACACATTGGCTGCCTTGTAGCCCCAAATTTTGGTGAATTCTCCCCTTCAACTCATTGTATGTAGTGCCCCGTTTAATTTTCAAAATTTTCATTTTTCCTTCAAATTGAACACCATTTGGGCTTTCATAATGCCTTCCATCATGGTAGATCACTGTAACATACATGTTTGGACTTGGGATCATCTTTCACACGAATTTGGGACTAAGGTTCGGATTTTGGGGGCAACAAAGGAATATATACGTGCAATGACAATGGTTTCACAAGATTAAGGCTTTAGAGATGGTGGGATGAAATAGAATCTTGATTGCAAGGATTACAAATGACAAACGAGAGATTTTGGTTTACAAAATGAGAATATTTGAAATGAGACCGAGAAGGGAAAAAATATAGGATTTCTGCCGAAGTTTAATCGATTAAATATAGTATTTAATCAATTAAATATCCTGAAATTTAATTGATTAAGAGGGATATTTAATCGATTAAAGCTCGGGTTAATTTTTTTTTGCGTATTTTGACCATTTAATCGATTAAATATTCAAGTTAATCGATTAAAGAGGGGCAAGTTGGTGAATAATTTTGGGTAAGGAGCAAAATAGTTATTAATTAATTAATGAGGGGGAAAAGGGTCAAAAAGCCCAATTATGGGTCAAGATTACGGATGAGCTAGTTGGACTCACCGGATCAAATTGGTTTTTATAATATTAGAAAACACTTATTGCATTGACTACTCTGCGAAATAATTTTGAGGAAAAAAAATATAACGCAATCATAATTATTGCACAATTCCCAAATTCAAATAAATGAACTTGTCGTGAAGTTGAGCCAAATTAGGGGTGGCAATTCGTGTTCACGGGTCGTGTTCGGGTCGGGTTGATGTCTGACACGAACACGAATAGCTCAATCTGAACATGAACCGATTAGTTATTTGTGTCAAAATTCTCATCCCGAACACAACCCATTTATTTTGCGGGTTGACACGACATGACTCGAAAAATCTTATAATATAAGTGTGACCCGTTTATTACACGACTCGCCAAAACAAATGCAGCAAATCTGATTGCAATATAAGAAAAAAATATGAGCATCACTAGTGATTTATGCAGTTAGTCCACTGAGCTTAGTGTTCATAAATGTAAAAAAAATTCTCTGATGATTGGTAGGTAATCTGGAGGTTCCAATACAATTTGAAACAAAGAAAAAATAATAATTTTTTCTTCATAACTATGCAAAAGTATCAAAATTACAAGATTCTAAATGTTAAAAGAAAAATAAAATAACAAAAAGCTTCCACAGACTTTCTCTACATTCATGGCAACATATGATTTGGCATGATCTCCAGTATTGAAAGCTTATAAAGAAAATTTTGCAAGTGAAACTTTAGTAAACCAAACCGCAGGTTTATAGCGGTTCTAGTTTTGTATCCAAGTATTAGAACATCATGTGCTGGAATGAGGTGGGAAAGAAAGAAAATCTAGGTACGAAGGTGGGAAAGGAAGATCCAAGCCTGAGAAGATGGTGGGAAAGAAAGAAAATCCAGGTACAAAGGTAGTGAAGGCGCTCCAACAACAATCGAAAGACAATGTATGCACTACAGGGGAGTCGAAACAGAGGGAGAAAGCGTCGCTGCGGAGAGTGAAAGGGTAGTTTAAAGCCCTAGGGTGTACAATTTTCTTTTATATCATTCAATAAAATTACCATAATAGCCTTACAAAAATTAAAAAGGAATATTTGCAGGTCAGAGCGGGTTTACGGGTTGACCCGAACCCGACACGAATTTTTTTCGT